GCCGAATGCGAACAAGATCACCGAGTGACTTGTTTGTAGTAATCACACCCTCTTATAAATCATCACCATTTAGCAGGTCCTTAGCAGAACGTCGCTCCGATCACGGCACGCTGGAGAATCAATCGGTCTCCTAGCAACTCTCCGACCTCATGAACTTGTTTCCCCAATGTGCCAGTCGTCGTGCTGCTCGTATGCTGCCTTTTCTTCCGGGATCTATCATTTACCTCCTTTACTGTTCTCTCCGACCATTTAAACGTTTAATATGGTCAGAGTATTTCAGAGTCAGAGAAACGAATTGTTTGTGTGCCGCTTCATTTGTAGACATTCACCCTATTCTGACAGGAGAGATATCCGCCTCAAGTGCTGGAGGTCCCAGTTCAAGCCCCGGTGAGAGCTGGGATTTTTTTCACGTGGACTTCTAGTAATTTCCCCCTGGTTCTGGGTAGTAAGACCGGACGCCCGTGTGTATTGTTGCGCATGTTAAAAAAAAATCCCTTGGCAGTTTCTACCCAAAGTATTTCAGGAACCTAGCCGGTGCTACAGAGCCTGTGCACTGTGCTGAGCGTCTTCGGACTCAGACTTGAGTGAGAAGAAGAACGGAGCACTTCTGGGTTTCTACCCATGTGTCATGATGTTGATCCGTTGAGTAAACATAATTATAAATGACAGAGAGAGAGAGAGGGGGGGGGGCAGACAGAAAAACAGAGAGAAAGACAACAGAGAGATACAGGAGCAAAAAAGAGAGAGGGAGTGAGAGAGAGAGAGAAACCGAGAGAGAGAGAGAGAGACTGAGAGACATACACACAGAGAAAGAGACAGACAGAAAGGCAGGGAAAAACAGAGAGACTAAGTCAAGCAGAGAGACAGCCAGAGATAGCATACTGCTTTGTGTATTTGCGTCAAAAGAAAGACTACAGTTGCTCAACAATTATGCATGTAAACTAACAACTGACCTGTATCCCAGATCCACTTGTTATCTGGCTTATGCCGATGTCACGCTCAAGTGCTCATGTTCAAGTGCTTCATCGCATTGTGAAGAGATCCATTCTTTGTTGCACAGATGGCCAGTTTCTGCGTCCTGTCGGTCATTAACTCATTATACACTGTGTATGTCAGCGTCTGTGACTTAGGCGTTGCGAACGCGCTTCGTAATGCCTGGGTGCCGGGTTCGATCCCAGCTGCAACGATTTGTCTTGCGTTAGTTTCGACAATTGTACCGAGAACTGACCGTTTAGTAAGCAGTGGCAAACTACTGAACGTAAAATTTGCCTTAAAAAAAAAACAACAGCCAAAACATGGTGAAGTTGGTTCCGCAACGTCCTGTAAAGGATACGCAACTAAAGATACACCGTGTATGTTGGGCGGGTTTATTTCGTTCACTCGGCTGGTATCGATCTATCGTCACGACTGTCTGTGTTGGTCTTTTTGTCTGTCTGTCTGTCTGTCTGTCTGTCTGTCTGTCTGTCTGTCTGTCTGCCTGCCTGCCTGCCTGCCTGTCTGTCTGCCTGCCTGCCTGCCTGCCTGCCTGTCTGTCTGTCTGTCTGTCTGTCTGTCTGTCTGTCTGTCTGTCTGTCTGTCTGTCTGTCTGACTAAAGAGAGGCTCTTCATTTTTCACTGTGTCAAATTGCAAGGAGCCCCAGCATGGTTAATCCTAGTTTAAGATAGTAATCTAATAAAATTCCACTGAATGTAAAATAAAATAATAATATACTTGAAATAATATGAAATGCATTAACAAATACTTTTCAACAGAATTTCTTAATGTGGAAGATTGGACCGCTTAGCTCTCTTACAAATGGCCGTCAGCGCATTTTGTGTGTGTGTGTGTGTGGGGGGGGGGGGTGTCAGGAGGTCGGAACCACTCAGGTTTCTGCCCATATGACGCAAATTGTTTATTATTATGCGTTTATATCAGCAATATTGAATTCTAATTTTTTTTTTTAAAGAAAAAACTCAACCACGTTCAACCTGCTGCTAGCTAGCCGAAGCTGTCAACAGATATTGAATTCACCCTATCCCGTGCTTTTACATATTGGATATGCAGTGCACATTGTCGGTGTAATCAGATAAAGGATGCTTTAAAAAGTTATGTGTTGCATCAAACTGAGGGTCACAACAAATAACAAGAAAAAGACTGATCTTTTCACCCTTCTCTAATAAAGGGACGATACTTTACAGCTTTTCACTGACTTCCCTGCCCCTGCAAGATCGCCAAACTTACCAGACACGAGTTGCTTTCAGTGGAAATTGTCAGTTTACACATTAAACGCAGGTTGACAAATGCGGCCCTTGTTTGATCTTCTGCTGTGGGCTGTCAGTTGGCTTTGAAAACTCAAAGGCATACACTCGCCCGTGTCTAAAGATGTTGGCCCATTCAACCAATCCATTGGGAATTAATTGTACTCAAGTTTGTTTTTCTCCCACTTACTACTCTCTCGGGTCTCTATCACAGTCTGGAGAGTCCGGATCCGTGATTGTGAGTGTGGCATGGAGTAACTGAATTTATAGTTTGTGTGTGTGTGTGTGCCGGTGTTTGGTCTCTATCCCTCTCCTAGTCCCCCCCCCCCTCTCTCTCTCTCTCTCTCTCTCTCTCTCTCTCTCTCTCTCTCTCTCTCTCATTCTGCCTCTTTCTAATCTTCTCTTTAATTATAACTATCATTCTCTTTAAGCTTTCCACCTCCCCACCCCTCACTTGCCTGTAGGTATGTCTGATAATATATCTGTTTTACTTTTGGTCAATTTCACTTCAGTCATTATTAACTGTCTTTTTGCTTATATTCAGTGTTAAGTAACTGCTTTCAATAATTTTCAACTGTTTCTCATTTTCCTTCAAGTCACTATTAAACTGTTTTTCATATTCCTTTTAGTAATCATTAACTTTTTCTCATATTTCCTAAGGTAATTATAGTTTCTCATGTTACTCCAGTAATCTTTAACTCTTTCTCATATTTCCTAAGGTAATTATAGTTTCTCATGTTACTCCAGTAATCATTAACTCTTTCTCATATTTCCTAAGGTAATTATAGTTTCTCATGTTACTCCAGTAATCTTTAACTCTTCTCTTCAGTCAGCATTACTGTTTATCATATTCCCTCCAGTTCCTATTGTTTCTTCATCTTTTATCCAGTCATCATTAACTGTTTTCTCAGGTTCCTCCCAGTTATCATTAATTGTTTATCATGTTCTCTCTGCTATCATTAACTGTTCTCTCCACTATCATTAACTGTTCTTCCCATCATCATTAACTGTTCTCTCCACTATCATTAACTGTTCTCTCCACTATCATTAACTGTTCTCTCCACTATCATTAACTGTTCTCTCCACTATCATTTACTGTTCTCTCCACTATCATTTACTGTTCTCTCCACTATCATTAACTGTTCTCTCCACCATCATTAACTGTTCTCTTCACCATCATTAACTGTTCTCTCCACTATCATTAACTGTTCTCTCCACTATCATTAACTGTTCTCTCCACTATCATTAACTGTTCTCTCCACTATCATTAACTGTTCTCTCCACTATCATTAACTGTTCTCTCCACTATCATTGACTGTTCTCTCCACTATCATTGACTGTTCTCTCCACTATCATTAACTGTTCTCTCCACTATCATTAACTGTTCTTTCCAGTATCATTAACTGTTCTCTTCACTATCATTGACTGTTTCTCATATTCCCTCCAGTCATCCTCAATGGTTTATACAATATCGTTAACTGTTTTATCCATGTTCCCTCCAGTCATCATTAACTGTTTATACCTGTTTTCTCCAATATCGTTAACTGTTTTATCTATGTTACATCCAGTCATCATTAACTGTTTATACGTTTTCTTCAATATCGCTAACTGTTTTATCTATGTTACATCCAGTCATGCCTTATTGTTTATCCATGATCTCTCAATTATCATTGACTGTTTTATCCATGTTCCCTCCAGTCATCCTCAATGGTTTATCCATGTTCTTTCCATTATCATCGACTGTTTTATCCATGTTCCCTCCAGTCATCCTCAATGGTTTATCCATGATCTCTCAATTATCATTGACTGTTTTATCCATGTTCCCTCCAGTCATTCTCAATGGTTTTCCATGTTCTTTCCATTATCATTGACTGTTTTATCCATGTTCCCTCCAGTCATCCTCAATGGTTTATCCATGATCTCTCAATTATCATTAATTGTTTTATCCATGTTCCCTCCAGTCATTATTAACCATTTTCCATGTTCACTCCAGTCACTGGTGCATGTGCTGAAACACAGGAAGTACATGACAGAGCCGGAGGTGAGGTACTACCTGCGTCAGCTGGTGGAAGGAGTGGAGTACATCCACGGCAACCAGATCATCCACCGCGACTTGAAGCTGGGAAACATGCTGCTGAACCAGGACATGGAGCTCAAACTGGCAGATTTTGGCCTGGCAACCAGGGTAGATTTTGCTGGAGAAAAGAAAATGTAAATTGTTTTTTAAAGTGTGCACGTGCTGTGTGTGCGTGTATGTGTGTGTGTATGTGTGTGAGAGAAAGAGAAAGAGAGAGAGAGAAGGGGGGGGGGGGTAACATTGTGTTCTTATTCTCTTCCTGCTACTGCTATCTCTTCAAGTCATGTTTGCTTTTTCATCTAATGCTACTTCTCTTCCTTTCTTTCTTCTTCTTTTGCTGCTGTTTCTCTTCCTACTGTCTCTTCTTTCTCCTCCTTCTTCTTCTTTTTCTTCTTTTTCTTCTTCTTCTTCTTCTTCTTCTTCTTCTTCTTCTTCTTCTTCTTCTTCTTCTTCTTCTTCTTCTTCTTCTTCTTCTTCTTCTTCTTTTTCTTCTTCTTCTTTTTCTTCTTTTTCTTCTTCTTCTTTTTCTTCTTCTTCTTTTTTTCTTCTTCTTCTTCTTCTTCTTCTTCTTCTTCTTCTTCTTCTTCTCTTCTTCTTCTTCTTCTTCTTCTTTTTTTCTTCTTCTTCTGCTTCTTCTTCTTCTTCTTCTTCTGCTTCTTCTTCTTATTCTGTTTCTGCTTATTCTGTTTCTCTTTCTTCTACTGCTGCTCCTTCTTCTTCTGCTGCTCCTTCTTCTTCTGCTGGTGCTCCTCTTCCTTATCTTTGTCTTTTCCAGCTGCTGCTGTTCTTTGCTGTTCCTTCTTTTAAACTCTTTTTCTTTTACTGCTGCTTCTGCTTCCTTTCTTTCTCCATGCTTCTTCTTTCTCTTTGTTTCTTCATCTGCTGCTGCTGTAGCTCCTCCTTACGTTCCATTTTCCTCTTCTGCTATCCCTCCTCCTGTTAGTCTTTTTTTTAAATTTTTTTTTAATTCTTGAGACTCAACTGAATATTCTTATTAATGTTGACAGGACTGTATGTGGCACACCAAATTACATTGCTCCTGAGGTTTTGCAAAAGAAAGGGCACAGTTTTGAGGCAGACATTTGGGCAGTTGGCTGCATCACGTGAGTATTATTATGTTTTACCTTTGATTATGAAATATTTATCACATCTGTTTTTGAAAGTTTAGACATATATATTAATTCCTTGTCTAAGAAGTTGTGTCCTAATAATAGATGGGAAACACCCCCCCCCCCCCCCCCCCCCCCCCCCCCCCCCCCCCCCCCCCCCCCCCCCCCCCCCCCCCCCCAAAAAAAAATAAAAACAGGTTTAGGAATTCTAGCAAGCATGTTTTTTTTTCAACACAAACTCAAAAACAGTTGAGACAAAACATTTTACTCTGTATTAAAACTGATATTAAAATAATCCTCTTTTGATTAATAAACTGCAATTATGTATCGAAGTGTACAGTAAAGTCATAAAGTCATCGACTTTAATAGATAATAGATTACAAATCATCAAACAAACTTTCTTTTTCCGTCAAAGCTAGTTGTGTATCCTCTACAGGGCATTGCAGAACCAACCCCAGCATTTTTTGGCTGTTTTATTTTAAATTTTTCATTTATTTTTAGGCACATTTTAAGTTCAGTAGTTTGCTATTGTTTTTGGAATGGTCAGCTCTCAGTTGCACTGTTGCAACTAACGCAAGACAAACAGTTCGCAGCTGGAATTGAAACCGGCAATGATTCATTTTGAAGCACATTCACAACACCTAAGCCACAGACACCCACTGACCATATATTGGCGTTTCCATTACTGACAAAACCTTTTGCCCCGCACTCTGAAAGTTGTGGGTTCATGGATCACCTCATTTGGTTCATGAGTCCACTGTTTACGAAAATGTCTGTGGATCCCTCTGGAGCTACGGAGTTTGTCCTTTGTGCAGTGCAAGCAGCAGATGATTAGGTGTTCCATGAAGAAAGACCGAGCTGTATAGGATAAAATCTGGTGCAATATGTTTGATTATCTCAGCTTGAAACTTTAAACATTAATTTGATTGTATATACATTAATATGTCTGCGTCTGTGGCTTTGGCGTTAAGAACGCGTTTCGTACGCGTTTTGTAATGCCGGGGTGCTGGGTTCGATCCCAGCTGCAGGCCTTGCACTGGTTTTGACAGTGATATCGAGAAGCTGACCATCCAGAAAGCAATGGCAAACTACTGGACATAAATTTGCCTAGAAAAACCACAAACAGCCCCCAAAAAATGCTAGGGTTGGTTCTGTAACATCCTATACAAGGATACACAACTAGAAATACATTAATGTATTTGTAGACAGTGAAATGTGCTTGCTATTCTTATATATAAATAACTACAAGAAACATTACACTCATCACAGATATGCATTGCTGGTCGGCCGTCCACCGTTTGAAACTACCACACTGAAGGAGACTTATCAGAGGATCACGGAAAACAAGTATGTCCTGCCACCATCACTTTCTACCTCGGCCAAAAACCTCATCAGAAAATGTCTGCATGCTGAACCAGCCAGCAGGCCAACTCTTCGGGTGAGTGTTGCTATGTACATAATGGGTCTGGCGTAGCATAAATAGATTTGTGCCAGTTGTTAACTCCAATAAATTGTGCTATGTAGTAGTGGGATAATGATGGCCTACAACAGGTGCAGATAACGTTATGTAAATGCATAATTACATATAACATTATGTAAATGAATGAGTGCAGATAACATGCACATTTATGATTGCTGATGACATATAAATATTTGATTGCAGATGACATTATGCAAATTTATGACTGCAGATGATATTATGTAAATATCTTACCAAACTTGGGATAACAAGAACAGACCTACTGACGCATGTTTAGAAAGATAACTGTTTGTTTGAAACTAAAACAGGTGAAGAAATAAGTGAAATGTCTGGGCAATCACTGGTAACAACAGTTATAAGATAAAGAAGATGGTGCTATATTAGACACATCCTGAGAAGAAATTAGGGTTCTATATTATCTTCCCCCAGATGTGAAAATGAAACAGGACAACCACCCCAGACCGTTTCCTGAAAGTTGTGAAAATGACAGTGTGCCCCTTTTTATAAGGCCAGATTGATTTTAGAACTGTGCTAGTCAGAAAAGAAGATGTAAGACAGTTATTTAATGCCCAGTATATATACTTAATTGTCAATGTGTTCCCTCTCAGGAAATAATGGCTGATGAGTTTATAACCACTGGATACTTGCCCCGAAACTTGTCTGCTGACTGCTGTATGAGGCCTCCAAACTTCCCAGCAGCCTCCAGATATATCAGCAACAGGTAATGCTTGTGAGTTAGTATATGTGAGTGTCTATGGTTTGTTTAAATAAGATATAGTCCCTGTGAACACAAAGAAGACTGGTTGTTAAGCGTTTTACAGAGCAGTTTTACTTTCAGTAGTTTGCCATTGCTTTCTGCCCGATCTGTTTAAAAAAAAAAAAGGATGTGCATGTGAAACTCAAGCTCTGGAAAAAAAACTAGAGTCCAAAAGTGGACTAACGAGCATAATTTCCAGTGGAGCTTACAAGTAGTGGTTGTTAGTGATTTCCTAAGCAATTTTACATTCAGTATTTGCCAGTGCTTTCTGAACTGGTTGACACTCATATAAAATTAATCAGATCTGTGCTGTAGGTTAAACCTGCACCACTTTTAGGTGTCGGTGGGGAGGGGGTTGGGAGATTAACTGGACACAGCAACAAATATAATTGAAATGCTTAATTTTAAAAATGATGTAAAAGCCCACACACATAACAGTTTTATTTTCTACAGTTTCTGTTGTCTCCTGAAAGTCTGCTGAGGACTAAAGACAAAATATTTTGCCAAAGCAACAGCTGTGCTGAATTATAATGAAATATTTCTTTGAAAGTAATTTCTCAGATAGATACAGAATAATTACTGTATCAAAGATCTCAAAGCAAGAAATCTGCAGTCTGCTCAGCCAGCCCTGCTGAGGCAGCCAGTCAGTCATAAATAACAGAAAGTTAGCTAGCTGTTATTTACCAGTGTTTATATAGTACACAGCTGAACAGAAGTACACAATAAATTGTGCTATGTAGTAGTGGGATAATGATGGCCTACTTTACAATGTGAATGTGATGGGGTGTGTTATTTGTGATGGCAGGTGTATTGTGTGGTTGGGTATGTTATTTGTCCTAGGGGTGTTATTTGTCGTGGTGGTAGTGGTGTTGTGTGTTTCATGAGTAGTGAGAAGTGTTAGGTGGTAGCGGTGTTGTGTGTTTCATGAGTAGTAAGAAGTGTTACGTGGTAGTGGTGTTGTGTGTTTCATGAGTAGTAAGAAGTGTTACGTGGTAGTGGTGTTGTGTGTTTCATGAGTAGTAAGAAGTGTTACGTGGTAGTGGTGTTGTGTGTTTCATGAGTAGTAAGAAGTGTTACGTGGTAGTGGTGTTGTGTGTTTCATGAGTAGTAAGAAGTGTTACGTAGTAGTGGTGTTGTGTGTTTCATGAGTAGTAAGAAGTGTTACGTGGTAGTGGTGTTGTGTGTTTCATGAGTAGTGAGAAGTGTTAGGTGGTAGTGGTGTTGTGTGTTTCATGAGTAGTGAGAAGTGTTAGGTGGTAGTGGTGTTGTGTGTTTCATGAGTAGTAAGAAGTGTTACGTGGTAGTGGTGTTGTGTGTTTCATGAGTAGTGAGAAGTGTTACGTGGTAGTGGTGTTGTGTGTTTCATGAGTAGTGAGAAGTGTTACGTGGTAGTGGTGTTGTGTGTTTCATGAGTAGTGAGAAGTGTTACGTCGTAGTGGTGTTGTGTGTTTCATGAGTAGTGAGAAGTGTTAGGTGGTAGTGGTGTTGTGTGTTTCATGAGTAGTAAGAAGTGTTAGGTGGTAGTGGTGTTGTGTGTTTCATGAGTAGTAAGAAGTGTTACGTGGTAGTGGTGTTGTGTGTTTCATGAGTAGTGAGAAGTGTTACGTGGTAGTGGTGTTGTGTGTTTCATGAGTAGTAAGAAGTGTTACGTGGTGTGGGATGGGGGAGCGTTATGTGTGCATACATGTCTATGTTAGAGGGAGACATTATTATGATGATTTTTTTAAATTAAAGTTTTTTAAATGTATATGTTTAATTCTAGTAGTTTAGCCCATTAAGCAGAAGTAT